GGCCCCGGGCCAGGCCGGCAGCCGCCGGGGAGCGCAGCCCCGGGCTCCGCGCACAAGCCGCAGGTGGGAGCAGGAGCTGAGCTGTGGGCGGCCAGCTCCGCGCCGCTCCTCGTCTACCCGGAACTCGTGGGTGCTCAAAGGGCCACGGGGGTTCCCAGGGAGCCCACGTGGGTCAGGGACGGGTGGCCCCAAGTACGCCTAGGAACGGGCCCCGAGCTCGGACGCCCAGGGCACGAGGTTTTCCAGGGTTGAATTAGCCCTGGTGTAGGCAGTCTTGCATCTGGGCAACCCCCACCTCCCAGCCCCCATACCCATTGTTCAGACTTCCCAGAGGGGTGAGGAAATAACCCCATTCATATTCAAGGATAAAAATATATATAAAAATAAAAAGCATCCCACCCCTCATGACTACAGTGTCCACTTAGAGATTCCAGAGCCTTCCATGGCAGGGAGAGGGGTTGGTGAAACTGTTCACAGGAGAAGGGTGGAAGGCAAAAGCAAAAGAAGACCTTTCGATGAAAACCCATAGTACAGAAGACAGAGCTATGCCTGCTCCCTTAATGAACCACATTTATTAAAAAATTACTAGGACTGTACATGAAAATCCAAGGTCTCTAAAAAGCCTACAGGAGCTGTGGCATCGGGTTTTACTTTCTTCACATTACCAAGTTGGGTAGTGGGGGTGGCGAAGGAAGAGGACGAAATAGGAGTTTCCCTTAGACACGGTTCAAGTTAAGTAGAGAGTAGCTGAATACATTCTTAACTATCTAAAAAGTAAACAGAACATTCCCCAATTCGGCTGGGATGAGGAGAGAAAGGATCCCCCCCCCACCCCCCGCCCCCGCAGCTGTTGCCAGGTGATCTGCACATTCTGTCCAAAAGCCAAAGCACCGATTTTACATCATCTCAGACACACAGGTAGACTATTTGTACAATATATTCCACATTATTCTACAGTGTATCTAAGCACACAAACTGTACACTTTAAATTTTTCTTTTTCGTTCATTCTTTTTTCCTTTAGGGGGGGGGGTGATTCCCTCCCTTGTCCTCTCCTGAGTCTTATGAGCCACCCGGGCACACAGCAGAGGCCTAGCCAGCGAGGCAATCATGAACAGGGCAGACATGGCTTGTGCTGAAAGCCTGGGAGGAATCCAAGTCAGTAAGACCAATACCTTCTTTTACAAAAGTTTTTCTTGCCTCCCAGGCCTAACATCTTTTGTCCCTTGCAGAAGGTAACAGCAAAAAGTCCCCTGTTGAAGCTTAAGGACCAGCCCTTCTCTTCTAGAAGCAAAATACCTTAACCGATTCTGGGCTTCTATATGCTCACAGATTTAAAAAACAGAAATAAGAACCAAAGCTTTGAACTCATTGGATAGCGCTCAGCACTCCATCTTCGCAGCCCCATTCTCTGAATGTTTAGTGTTTCCAATAAATAAATCCAGAACTTTGAATGACCTTCAAATTTTAAAACCCTTCCAAGTCCTCAATTAACTGTATTTCAGAAAGAAAAAAATAAAATGCTAGGCTTGTTTCCATTACCTGCAGCAATCAAAAAGCTTTGGCACCTTCTTTTAGAGAATTGCACAGAACAGGATGCATCAAGGTGGAAGGCAAACATCTTTTTGGCAACCTAGGCAAAGGAGACAACAAAAAAACACCACCAAGTTCATCTGCAAAAACTTAGCTCGTTTTGATGAGGTCAAAACCACTCTTTAGGGAGTTGTGTAAAAAGCATAATAGCCCCCCATGCCTTTTGAGGTGTCTTTACTGTATTCTTCGACGTTCATGTCCTCACACTTTATGGAGGGAGAATTTTCATTGCTAGAGGAGCTGGGAGACAGCCGCCTTCGCTTACAAGCGCTGGTGTACACTCCCGAATCGTTGGAATCCAGAGACTTGATGGAAGGGGGAGTCTCTATCCAAGAAGAGCTCATTTCTTCTTTGACTTTCTCCTTGGAGAGCTGATCTTCAGAGAACACAGGGGGGCTGGTTCTGGAGGTCCATGGGAGTCCGGCGGCCATCTTCCTCTGATAGGAACCTCGACCTCCCCACCCTGCCATTGCAGGGAAGGCTGGGTCAGGGTAATACCCCAGGGCATGGGATGTCTGCAGGGGCAAGGATTTAATGCCATAGGGGAGCAAGGTGCTGGACGTATACTCAGACTCATAGGAACCGATGTCTAGTTTGTTGGTCCCAGGCTGCTGGACAGGCGTGACAAGCCACCGCTGGGGAGGGTTGGCCACCTCTTCGTTCTGTTGGGGTGAAAGGAGGCCGTTGGTCTGTGGCACGGTTCTCTCGCCGTTATAATATCGGGCTTGAGGTAAAGTGTTGACAAAGGGCTCCGGGAAGAAGGACTGGACGCCGTACCGACCTCCAGGGACAATCTGATGGGATCTAGGAGAATCCGTGGGAGATGGAGTTAACCTGTCATTTTCTGAAGCGGTGTACATGCTACAATATAAAGAAAAACACTTAAAAAAACAACAACCCTAATGTTGTCCCCAAACAAACCAAATTCCCAGAAATGAAAACGCACTGGTCTGCTGGTGTGGAGGGACAGAGGTAGGAGACGCCCTGGCCCATTTGAACTTGGACTCTTGGCTCCAGGGGGTAAATTTCCCCACCACGTAAGAAAAAGTTCCCTCCCACGTATTAAGTATTTAAACTATAGGAAGTCCACCTTTGCAGATCCTAGGATTTGAGGAACTCAGCGCAACAACTCTCCCTTCTCCCCTGTCAGTGTGATGGGAGGAATGCCACATTTAAAAGGCATTTGCAGAGCCTTTTTGTTGATGTGAAAATCACATCCTCTTAGGGTCAGGTTTTTCTTATGTAAAAGAAAAAAGGGGGGGGGGAGTAGTAATACGGCTCCTGAGAGGGTCAGAAAGTTGGGATCACATGGAAAGATATGTAAATGCAGATTATGAAAATGTCAAATCTCCACTCAAATGTTAAAAAGAAAAATGCCCCCCCCCCTTTACATTTCTTTAGAAATTAACAAAAGCCTTCTGTGAAAATTCTAAAGCAAGGTTAGTTCAGGCAGAAAAAAAAAAAAGATAAAAATAAAAACAGAAAATCTCAAAATATGAAAGCTTTTCCCAGAATATGGTCTTAGGAAAGTGTCTGATGACGAGTGTCCTGTTCCCAGGTGACACGCAAGCATGGACAAAAGCAGCACTTACGAATCGTAGTTGTCCCTGAAGCCTTTTGCAAAGGGGTTGTGATCAATCTTTAGTTGCGTTATCTGGATGGGGGAGAAAAATGGTTGTTGAGTGCTTTAGCACACTGGGCCTAGCTTGCCAGAGTCTTGGGACATCTGGGGCACTCACGTCGGTGTTTTGGTAGGCCGTCACGGCAATGAACTGCGTTTCTGAGAAGGTAAAGGTCTGAGTCTTTGAGGGCTCATTCAAGTCCTCCACGCCATCCTCTGTAACTTCAACAATGTGCAGTCGTGGCTGGTACTTGTGTAAAGACTGTAGGACTATCATCTGGAAGTGGTACAGGAATAGAGTGGCCAAATCGAAACAGTCTCTTAAAGGTTCAACAAAAGTAGACGTTAACAAACTACATATTTTGGAATGGGGCTCCCGCTCGCTCCCCAACAGCAGCTACCATTTTCTATTGCCATTTTTAAGATCTTATCGTTGCCACTTTTGTAACAAAACCTAGCTGGATGTGCATGTTTCGAAAGCACTCTCTCCTCTTGATTTCCTAAGTCCCCCAAAGATTTCAGTATTTCTGTTCCTAATAGTCAACTCACTGTTATGGAAATCCAGTGTGAAAGTGAGAATGACAAGGTCAAAAGAAAAAGAAAAAAAAAGCTTAGAAATAGGCGAGTAAACAGGTAAAACCAGTGAAGAGTCAGGGAACTTGTTAGAAAAGAGATCACCAGCCAGAAGACATCCCCCTCCTCTGTCACCCTACCTGAGTGTTGTTGTTATTGGCGCCTTTGTTATTGGTGAGTTTTAATTTCCCAAAGGAAATCTCCTGTCTCATCCAGTGGGAACCAGTATTAGGAGACTCTGGGTGGACGTACATTTTGTTGCCTAAGAGAAAATGAAACAAAACACAGAACCTAAGCCTAGAGGGCTGTTTACAAATGGAGCGGAGGGAGGGATGTCCTGTTATCTATGGGCCAGGTTTAAGAGCAGGACTTACAGCACAAATCTCCCCAGCACGAGCTGCTTAGAAAGGCCAATGGAGACCATTAGACTCCACTGGTACATCCCATCACACCCCTTGCAGAGCCGGTGTGCCCCCAGGCCTTCCTTGACAAGGTGCTCATCTTAACAGGACCTCAGCATATAAAAATGGAGGCAACAGGGGAGGCCTCGTGTAGCTCAGGGAAAGCTCGAAGGGCAACATCTGATGGAAATGGTTGCAATTTTTATGGGTGGGATTCCACCTGGGGAAGGCTTTCTCAGGTGGAAATTAGGATGCCAGGAGCCCTTGACACCCGGAGAGTTTATGACAATTCCTTCCTCAAACCTGGAAATCGGGGGGGCTGCAGTAGGGTTATGGTTAAAGCTCTGTATATTGGAAAGCAAGAAATCTGACTTAGCAATTCTCTCCTTCAGCCAAACACTCAAGACAAGGAACTCATGCTCA